TAATTGGGTGAGCAAAGAAACTGCAAATGAGAGGTTTTCCTTAGGAGGGAAAGGATGTTTATAGTTCCCACCCCCCTAGGTGGTGAATTGTAACCTAAACGTTAGTCTTCCAATGCAGTCTTTAATTTAGGAACCATTACAAGAATCTATCAGAGCAGAAAACGTCAGGTTGAAAAATTAACACAGGACAGGAGTTAATTAGAACCCAGCCTCTCATTAGATGCAAACGGAGAATCAGCCAATGGAGTTAGCTCCACAGTGACTGCATAGTTCCTACTTCACCAGTGGAACAAAACGAGGGGGCTGCCCAGGGCTGCCCTTCAGGTTAAGACTTCTGGTGTTGCTGTCTCCTCCTCTCAGGAAATACGCTGAAGGTCACTGGGTGGATGTGCCTCTGCTTGGAACTCCCTCAGGGAAGTGTTTTCAGTAACAAAGACAAACATGCCAGGCCTGTCACCAGGGGCAGACTGTCGACTGTGTCAACCACTCAGCAAGAGGGAGGCTGAGGGGCTCCAGCCCATTCAGACCTAGCTCTACTTCTTGGTCTTTGTTTTCTCCCCACAATCAGACTGAAATGTGATGCCCCTGCCTTTCTTTTTTGGAAAATACCTGAGACTAGCTCATTGCTGGGAAAGAAAAGCTGTTGACAGGAAAAGCTGCTGATGGGGAAGGGACTTCCTTGAGCCATTCTCGGAGACAAATGCTTCAAGCAAACGGAGGCTGGGATGCCAGGGTTAGGGGGTAGGAGAGAGAAGTCCAGATCACAAAGGGTCACCTTTAGCGATGGATTAGGCTGGCTGTCAGGCAGATTCCTCTGGGAGAGCAGTTCTATGTGCACCGTGGCAGGTAGCTAGCTAGGCATGGAAGTCCTTCTTCAACACTTAAGTAGCTGTCTGATCCTGGGCAAATTGTTTGGTCTCTCAATCTGACATGAAAAGTAAATGAGATAATGTAGAAATAAATGGGATAATGTATGTAGAGCATGCGAAACAGCAGCTGGCACAGAGTAAAGGTTCTATATGAGTTGTCTTTGATTGGACAGCAAGTCACCCAACACTTACTGTGTTCCCTCAGAGGCACCCTGGGTATCAAGCCCTGTGTGGGAGATGGGCGCTCCTCCTCGGCCTCGCAGAGTGCGTACTCTAATCAATCATGAACACATCACTTCGACACAATGCAAGCCTTCCTCCTCGCCCCTCAAATGCCCTAGAAGTGCCAATTAGGCACCAACTCCACTTTGAGTAGCTCAGAATCTTGTAGGTCATTGCCCTCTGAGAAGCCATCCAAACCCAGTCACTTCCAACTTCAATCTAGGCACAATTCTCTATCTATGCACTTATCACATTGTTCTAGTGTTTGCTTGTTTGTTTATTCTTTGTTTCCTCCTATGAGGTCCTGGCCGTGGGGGTTACTTTCACTCATCTCTGTAGCTCAGTCATCTCACATATTTCCCAGCACTAGGCACAAGGAAGGTACCTACTTGCTACTTTTGAAGCAAGTCTACTATGTAGACTTCTAGCTAGGATCTCTTCTCTGGGAGATGACCTTGGCCCATCTTCAAAGAGTTTCTTTTGGGCCCTGGTTTGGTTGGTTCTTTTTCTAACAATTACTTTGCTTCCAGATTCCATGCCTCATCTCTTTAAGGGACTGCTAACTGCGAGGTCAGCAGTTTGAAACCACCAGCCAATCCATGAACAGTTCGTCTTAGAAACTCATAAGAGCATTTCTCCCTGCCATATAAGGTCATCATGAGTCAGAGCTGACTTTATCTATAGCAACGAGTTTGGCTTTGGGTTTTACCTTCACTGGGCTGCTAACTCAGAGACTCTAGGGAACCATGTTCCTCTGTCCTATGGGATCACTATGAGCCAGAGTGGACTCAGTAGCAATTGGCTTGGTTTTTTGGTTTTACCTTGCTTTAGAGTACAAGGGAGACCCTCAATCTCAAATATATTTTAAGGAGAACATTTATTAAGCCTTAAGCAAAGAAAGACAAGACAAATATACAACATCCGAAAGAGGGGGGCTATTCACATGAGGTCATAATGGTACCACCCGAGGGTATGAAGAGTTTCGGGGCATGGGAGGGCAAAAGAAATGGTCACAGCAGCATGACTGGCAGTAGATCAATACATCACAGCAGTAGATGGGCCAACAGCAGCAAGACCAGGACCATGATTTGGGGACATGGACTTTAAGTTAGATAGACAAGTTACTAGATTGGTCGAGGGCTTTCGGACCAAGACAGAGCATAACTCTTGACTATGTAACCCCAATATGGCAGGCAGGCTCCATCAAACACACCCAAACAAACCCCTAAAGGAGAATGCCCCTCCTTGGGCTGACAAGGGGGATGCATGAAATCCACTTTCCAATGCACTCCAAGGGCAAGACTGTTCATGTCGCTGGTTAATGGCCAGAAGGAGTTCAAGGGAGGCCTTATCCACATGAGGTCTCTGAAATGGATTCTGGGCTTTGACTGTATAGCCATTACCTTCTTCAAACTTGGTGCTCAGAATTTAATCTCTAATAGAATCATCATTGGTAGGCTTTGATGATGACCTGAGACAAGGCAGCTTCTATATGTGCCCAACTCAGCTCTACACACACAAAGCCAAATACCAAATATATCGACTCCATTTTGCCCTCATCATAAGAAAGTCTATACTTGCCAATAAAAAACAAAAATCAAACTCACTGCCATCGAGTCAATGCTGACTCATGGTGACCCCCTGAAGCCCTGGTGGTGTAGTGGTCCCATGTTGGGTGCAATCCGCAGGGTGGGCAGTTGGGAACCACCAGCAGCTGCCAGGGAGAAAGCCCAGCTTTCTATTCCAGTAAACACTCACCCTCTCAGAAACCCACAGTGGGGTTGAGGTGAGTGCGTTCCCGAGACTGTAACCCTTTACAGGAAAGCCCGGTTTTGCTCCTGCAAAGTCCTGGTAGTTTCCAACAGCCCACTATGCAGATCGCAGCCCAAAGGTAACCAGGACCCCAAGTGCTTCCTCATTGGCCAATATAAGAGAACTGAAAAAAATACAAGGCGGAACACGAGCACCACGAGAGTGGTACAGACATCCTTCCAACGTGTATTCAGCTCCTGCCATGTGCCAGGGGCTTGCCTGAAATGGCGGCATCGAAAGTGCATAATGACTTGATTCTTGAACTCCGGCCCTAGGAAAACAGTGGCAGGTGCCGGGCAAAGGGATCTCAGCAAGAGGGCAGGAAGCCAGGCCCCCAGCTCCTCAGGCCTGGACTGTTGTGGAGGGCATTTTGGTGTACAGAAAATCACCAGCACCACCTCCGAATTATTCCACTTCTACCCTGTGCTGGGCGCTGTGCTGGGCGATGTCCCTCACGGCCCTCGGAATGACTGTGTGAAGGGGACATCAAGTTCCCGATTTCGCAGGTGGTCAATCTGAGCCTCAGGGAGAGAGGGCAGCATGACCACAGCGAATGCACAAGTAAAGGGTTTAGGAAATTCCACCTGCTGAGAATTCCACTGACCCCACTGGAAAGTAGAGAGAAGTGGCCCAAGCCACAGCCGGGGTTTGAATCGCAACCCGGTCTCGTGGTTCCCAGATTCCCAGGACCCCGGGTCTCAGATTAAGGAAAAGCAGGGCTGGGCTGGGGGACAGCTTGCAGGAAAGGGGTCTACTGGAGGGCGGGGCAGGAAGCTGCCCGTAGCTGCGCGGCCCGCTCGCCCTCCAAGCACAGGTCAGGCTTCTCCCCTCCCACCCTCACGCCCTCCCAACCTTATTTAGAAACCGTGTCCCCGAGACAGGAAGGGCGGCGGGCCGAGAAGCACGGAGCGTCCCGCTCTCATTTCCTTTCGAATCCCCCTGTGGCATTTCATTTCATACAGCGAAGGAAACCGGAGCGCGAGCCCTGCGGCGGGGCGGCCGGGGGCGCCTCCCCTACGCCCCCGCTTCCCCCGCCCGCAGCTCGGGGCGC